TATGCGAAATCACGGCGTCCGAGAGTGCAAGCTGACCTCTATCGATGAGTTGGGTGGGAAGCGTTGCAACGACGGTCGATGTTTGCACGCCAGTCAGAATCACTGCCCTAACCACGCAGTTTATGGGACGAAGCTGGAGTGAACTAGGCACGGTAGGCGCGAACCCTGCAATTTCCCTAGCGAGATCCTTCCTAGAAGTCAGGCTGATCCTGGGGCTTGCCTTTGGGGGACACGCTGTATTTTCATGTTATTTATTTATTGTGTATACTTTATCAAATATATGATATGAAAATTGCGCCCATTCTGTATACTATATGGCCGATTTTCTGCAATTTCAGGTGTTCCTGTCAACATCAAGCGAACGAGTGCATACTGAATCAGCTGATGAACTGTGTCATCGACAGTGTAGGATTTCCTGATAAGATAGTGCCAGGTTATCGATTGTATTCAAGGAAAACCCAACATCGAGAGCGCAATGGAGTCATGTATAGCTCACAACTCAATGATGGATCTAAATGAGTGAGTCCGTTCACAGAATCAAGAATGAATTGCTCCCACTTCAGCCAGGGGCTTTCACAACCTCCTTGGCCAAGTCAGATGTGAGGGAAGGGTTGTGTACTTCTAAAAGACATGAGAAGTAGAATGTTCCTAATAAGTTGGGTTTTTTTTTGAAAATGGGGGAAATGTGGAAATATACCCCGCTACCCGCCCGCTTCCTTCCACTTGACGCACTATTGAGTTTGGGGGCGGTGCTGAGAGTGTGTCAGGATGAGCCAAGTTTGGCGACAACGCTGATGGCACTGCTGCGATATCCACCCCTAATAATGAGGGGAGGGCTGGAGTCGTTTATCCGAAATCGGCTACTGTCGACCTCGTGCCACGGTGTGTGAGGTGGACAGAACCACAAAAGGGTAAAATCATGGGAAAGTATCCGTTTTCATGCTCGTAATTTCTGTCAAAACATTGCCGTGACATACACACGCCTAGCGGACCGACCGCGAACAAAAGCGGGGAGTTCGAAGGGCTACACCTCGGGGAGGAGGGAGTGCACCGCTTTCAAGATTACGGTTCGATCCGGTGTTGAGGTATTATTGCAACGTGATTGTGATAATACTTCAACGGCTATATAAACACCTACTTAGTACACTTTCAGTCATTTCA